AGTCCCCACAGTTCCTTATTTCCTTTATAATAAACAGAAGAGCTGGCAAGCTTTGGGGTAGTGCAAAGCATATATATTAATCAAGATAACATTTTTAGACACTGGAAAAATTAAACGTCATATATTTGGAGGATGGCACTGCAACAGAATCTTCCCTCGTGGTGGCTTGAAGTTTTATTTTTATTTAAAGAAAACATACACGCAGGGTGGATTTGGGAATGTGGGAAGGAGTGATTAAGCAACTGTCACGCCGGAAATACAACTTAAAAAAAAGAAGGAAGGAAGGAATCATTCAGTGCTATGAAAGCCAAACTTGATGAAGGACAGAAGGGACAAAAGGGAGAGACTATCATTCTGCAGTGAGGTTGTTTCATGATAGTTTGGGGACCACTTCCATTTCCAGTGGGCTGATCCTTGACTGCACACCATTAATAGTATGTGAATATGGAAATTGAAAACACTTCTTAAGAAATGCTTCTCTTCTCACTTTGGCAAGACAAAAACAAAAAACAGCTGGTCAAACACTAAGAAGAAAAAGGGAAAAAAAGGCTTCTGTGTTTTTCCTCCCCCCACCCCCACCCCTGGTCTCAGGGCCTTCCTGTTTGTTAATTTGCTTTTTCTTTCTTTTACAATGCAGCTTTCCATGATTTGTCACAAAGGAAGTATGTATGCTTTTAAAAATTAGATTAAAAAGGAAAAATAACAGCTTTTTAAAGCTGCTGATTTAAATGCTTATAATACATTTTTAAAAGCAGATGTTTAGGCAGATCTCTGGTTTTATGATACTGGAGATGACTGCATTTCTGTGCAGCAAGACAAGTACCTTTCATGGATCTTTCTAATGTTTTGGAGAGGGGGAAAAAATCACTTCTTTTGTGATGGCAAGCTTCCCTAATCTAGTGTTTTCTAGATGTGCTGGGATTTCCCAGAATGCTCTAGCAAGCATGGCTGTTGGCCATGATGGCTTGGAGTTCTGGGAAGTGCAAATTCAGCAAGTTTGGTGGCACAAGATGATGTGGCACGGTAATGACTGGAGTAACTGGGAGAGAAAAGGCGCTTTATATACCTCTTCTACAGTAACTTTTTAAAATGCAAGTTTTTAAAGGTAAGAGGGAAGAAGTGACAGGTTGTTCACACAGTGTCTGTCTTGTTCAAAAATCTATTCCACATGTACTTTTTTCTTCTCTTGCTATGACACTGTGTGATGGTAATAATTCAGAGTTTCAGATTTTGCACATACAATTTTATGCATCATCATCATCAAGAAAAAAAATGCCTTGAAAATATTTGTGAATGTTTTTCTTTTGCAAAAAAAAAAAAGCTTTACTGGTTTTTTTTTTTTTAATTGTAACATTTTTGTGTAAAGACAGGAAATGGATTTTTAAAGAAAACTAGCACGCTAATTATATTTTTCAAAAAAGCAATAATTTTACATGTACAAAAATAGCACTAATCTTTTAATACTGATGGAGAGCAACCGTTTACTTCTACAATAATGGGATAGTGCTTTTTTTTCTAGAAGATGGGGTTACTCAAAGATTTTTTTAATATGTATTTTTTTTCTGTCCTGATTTTGTGTTGTCTATATTTGAATTGGGATTCTACTTGTTGCAAGTTACTTGACTGTTCTTGCCTTGCTGTTAACTATAATGCAGTTGTAATATTCATATATAATTTGCCAGTTTGGAATTTTTATTTTATTTTATTCCTCATACTTATGAACCAGCTGTAAGTCAGCTGTAACCCTGAATTAGTATAAAATGTCTGTGCAGATGTTGTGTAACTGATTAATTTGTTTTGAAGTTACCTTGCAGAATTTCATACAGACATATTTCAGACCTCCCTTTTTCCATCTCCTGCATCCCACTTCATCCTCATTTCCTTCAAATCATCTCTTTTTATGAATCAGATAACACCAAACTATCCCTAACTGGTCAATTAGGGATCCATAATCAAGTGCTACATTTTCCTCCTTCAAGCACTTATTTTCCTTATTTTAAGTAAACAGGTCAGGATTCAGGAATATCCAAATTTCTGCTTATCCCCCCCCCCAATTATTTGAGTGCCCCATAAAACTATCACAATTTTTGTTGCTAGATTTGTGTGTGTGATTTATTTTTAAATCATGTTTGGTGAGTGGTGTCTTTGATTTCATTAATTCTTTTTTTTTAATGTCTTTGCAAGCTGATCTAGAAGGATCTTAGTTATTATTTAGAGTTTCAGAGTTTTTCCTGAAAATTGTCTGACACACAAAGAGAAAGGGCTGTCATTGCCATTACTAGGGTACTAATCAGCAAAGTTTACAATCATCATTTAGCTTCACGAAGAACAACAGCAGGGGAAATCAGTTTAAATAATTATATGCTGTGTATAGCACAGAAATGAGATTTTCACTTAATTAAACAAGAAATGGGGAGGGAGAAGGGGAGCTGTCATTAAAGACCACCATATTACGTGTGAATTCCAAGCTTAGTAATTTCCTCGTTTCTCATCCATATTGTATCAATTTGTTAATTCAGTTAGATCCTAGTGTTTAGTATGATTTGTGCTCTTATTTATTTAGCTATTTGGGTTTAAAGTAGCCTTTTTTTGGGAAAAAAAGGAAACATGATAATTTTGTAGCATGACACATTTTTGTAAGCCATCTTCTGACTGTTACAGCGACTCTGCTACCTCTGTCAATCTGTTTCTTTTCCTTAACAGGTTTTCTACAGTGTTGCAGTCTAATGTACCTTAGACAATAAAGGTTCCATAATGAGCAGTGCAGATGGTGTCTCAGACATTGCTCTCCGTTTTTTCCTTTTATTTCGCTTTTCCAATACAGAAACAGGCTTCTCAGCCATATGAATCTTCCTCCTTTCTTGTCCCTACGTGAAATGGAATAATGTCATCTTTCAAAACTATTACATTTGTTCTCATTTCTATATTCCTGAGAATGTTTCTATCGCAGTTGTGTTACTGGGGAAAAAATATACCTTTGCAGATTTAGATTTTAGTTTTATAACCACCCCAGAGCATATTTCCATTGTTTTTTTAAAGTTGGGGATAAAATATGTACACTATTATAATTTCAGCAAGATGCCATTTTAATAGGCAGAACATCAAAGTTTTATGATCAGGTTGCCACACTTCATGATAAGAGATTTGTTTGCTGTCCGGTGCCCTCTCTTCATGGTGACATGAGTTTTACCATATGTGAAAAAGGAGATGGATCAGTTTCCCAGAGGAAATACAACTGTAAAAACAATTTAGTAAAGGAAATGAGAAAGCTGAACCAACCATTTAAACCCTTATACAACCAAACTACAGTAATTTTTCTGTTCTAATAAAAATAGTAAATATTAACATTTTATTGAATCTTGAAAGGATACAGCAGAAGGCAGATGTTACCCCAATTTTGGGGGAGAGGGGAATTTTGAACAATGTGTAAGATTCAACCTTCAGAGAGCATCTTTAGAAATATTTTTTTCAAATACCGTATATGCCGGCGTATAAGATGACCTCCGCAAGCGCTAGGCTCGGCAACAAAGACGGGGGTCGTCTTATACGCCGGGTCGCCTAATACGCCGGCATATACGGTAGCATAAATTTTTTAAAAAAAATAATTGGTCAATACTCTTTTTTTACTAAAAAAAATTTTCAAGCAGCATTCTACCATAGAAAAAGACTTTCTGTGATGTAATTCGGTTTTTTATTAAATTAATGCTTATTGCAATCCAAATATGTTGCTCAAAATAAAATATACTTCCTGTTTCAAAAGCAAAATTAAATTCTATAAATTATACACCCAATGCACGAAAGGATACCCTAAATTAATGCACTAGATTCACCTCCATAAAAAGTTTTGAATCGATGAATATAGATCACATATTTTCTGCTAAATCAGGGGTTTCCAACCGGGGGTGCGAGACAATATTTCAGGGGTGCAAAACTTGGGTTTTCTTTCTTTCTTTTTTTTTTTATTAAAAAGTTTTATAAATTTTACAAAAAAAAAACAAAACAATACAATAACAAAAAACCACATATACAAAGAGAAAAAAAACTAAACATTACACAACAAAACCCCCCTCCCCCCACCCCCACCCAAACACCCCCCTTTCCCCCCCCCTGAGCTTCCCAGAGCAGGATATAGGTTTAATTAAAAAAACAATTAAAAAATTATATTTATAAAAAGAAAAAGAAGAAAAAAAATATAACATTAACATATATATGTATATATATAAAAATAAAAATTATGAAAAAGCTATATGATATTTTTTTATATCCAATTTAAATTGTATAAATTTTATCCATTTATCCCAAACAGCAAGAAATTTCTCTTGCGTTTGTTCCTTTAAAAAAGCCGAAATCTTTGCCATTTCCGCCAAATAAGACACTTTAAGAAACCATTCCTGCAATGTAGGCAAAGATTCCTTCTTCCAATATTGTCCTACTAACAGCCTCGCGGCTGTAATCAAATTTAACATCAATATAACCTCCTTTGTATCACAATCAGTAACTATACCCAACAAAAATAATTGCGGAGTAAATTTTACCCTCCTTCTAAAAATTCTCTGGATATTCCACCATATCTTAATCCAAAATGCTTTTATCTCTCTACACGACCACCAAATATGATAATAGGTAGCATCCATACAACCACATCTCCAACATTTAGGTTGTAAGTCAGGGTACATAAGAGACATTTTTTGTGGATGAAGGTGCCATCTATAAAACATTTTATAAAAATTATCCCTTAAGTTCTGTGCTTGTGTAAATTTGAAATTTCTCACCCAAATGGTTTCCCAGATGTCCAATGAAACTGGCTCACCAAAATTCTGCGCCCATCTGATCATACAATCTTTAATTAGTTCCGTTTCTGAATCCAATTCAACTAAAACCCCATAAATCCTCTTGGGTTTTCAAAATTATAGTGTATATGCATAATTTGTTGTCGTTATTTTGAACTTTTGTAAGGGGTGCGGGAATATATCAGAAGCATTCTAGGGGTGTGGGATATAGAAAAGGTTGGGAGCTGCTATGCTAAATTACTCCAGATAATTTTTCTGCTCTTAAGTCTGCTACTGCAAATAGTGTATTTTTGTCATGATTTTTCTTGCCCAACTTCAATGATAGGTATTTACTATCTCTATGTAAATTTCAAAACACAAGGACATATACCTAGTATGAAAAATCAGGGAAAATAAAAACAAGTCTAATATTTTTTTTAGGAAAGGAAAAAAATAGTAAAATAGGTTCTAAAATTGGGTTATGACACCCATAAGATTGTGAATAAAACTTGCGCCCTTTGGACCTGAATTTGGCAAATATTTATTGGGTGCTGGATCAGGCTGCCCACAGAATCCAAATGCCAAAGTTCTCCTTTGATAACCTTTGTGCTTGCATCAGGAGCTTTTGCAATACTCCTAATTTTGAATGCTGTGCAAGGGGACTTGGCCAGGATCGAGACCCTAACCCTAACCCCTCCCATCCAAGAAGCCTATTGCTTAAATTGCCTGGAACAGCCACTAAGACAGCACAATGCTCCCAGGCGAAGAACCATTTTGGAAGAAGATAGACTGAGGTTAGGGAAGAAAAATGTTCCAGTCCTACCTGGATCAACTTGGATAGCATTTTGAAGTAAATGGGATGATTTCAGGAACTGTGGAGAGTGCAGAAATTGTTGAAATACTGTACAGCCCAAATTCAGGGCTGAGTTCTGACAATAGTATGCAAGCCTGTTTGAAGTAAATTGGAGGATTTCAGGAACTACCGGTATGGTGAGTGGCTGGATCATTATTGGAGTAGAACTCCTGTTAGGATCCCTTCTTATGTTTATTCTTGAGGTGGTTTTACAAATTCTCAGGGAATTTCACATGGTGTTAAAGTGTCAAAAAGTTTGGAAATCCCCACAGGAAAACCCTATACTAAATTGTGGATTGATTACACCAGCTGTACGCCATCTAAGCCAGCATTAGCAAAGGGATTCCATTAAGATGGCTCTTCATGTGAGATATTCAATATTTTTATGTTACAAAAGGTAGTCTGATAAAAATAGTTAAATATAAGCACATTACACTAAAATATCCGTACTAGTTATCTTCTAGACAGTAAAAATAAGTCTGGATAGGAGATCTGGTACATTTATTTAGAAATAGTCTCATCTCCAAGGCTACTGTACCTCCTGTGTACTCAGCCATTCACTAACATAATCATGAAAAACAGGGAAATTAAAAGGTGGTCAATGTAAAAGAACTATAAGATGCCAGCTTAGTGAAAGTCAGCACTGTTTGCTCAAGTCTGCTGTCAAGGTTCTGACTAACGAACCCAACCAAGTAAGCACCGATGAGACGATCCAAATTCTCTGTGCAAAACTTTATTGAGTATATCATTTTGGCACGATAGAAAACAAAACCAGCTCTGGTTATTTCCCATGTGAACTGCTATAATTAAAACACACAATTCTCCCTCCTCCTATTAGTGCATGTCACATTGTCCAATCAAATGTCAAAAGTTTGTTACGAGAAAGTGTCTCTGTGAGTTGGTAAACACCTGCTGAAATATTCTTGATTCACATGGTTGGATTTCTTGTCTGGAGTCTGCGTTCCATTTCCCCCTCCCCTGCCCCTAGTGCATTGGCAAGCTAAGAAGCAGTAAGGGTGGCAACATTGTGTGCGCGCTTCAAGCAGTTATCAAATAGATTAGAATGTATTCCTTGTAAGGAATATTCATAGGTGGGTCCAAATGCTACAGTAGATGAGAAACCACAGCAAAGATACACTTGAGTGCTCTAACCAAGTTTCAAATCCAGGCTAGATGCAATTCATATCAAACTGGAACCATGCAAACTTAGCACATCCTTCCTCAATTTAATGCTTTCTGGGTTCCCAAAATGTTGATCTATGTAACTGAAAATCACATGTTGCTGGGAATGCAGAGAGCAGAAATTTAACACATTTAGATGGAATCACTTGGGCCAGATCATTTGCTGAGAAAATTAATTTACTAAGTATAAATGGGAATTAGAGGAAATAATAATGTTTTGAAGAGATAAACAAACACCGGATTGAGAACACAGCTACACAAAACCTTTCATTTAAAGATATTTTTTTTCAAGAATGCTCCACAGAATATTAAAGTACTTGTTATTTACCAAAGGTTTGATGTAGATGAGCCATGTCAAAGCAATTACATTGACTGGCAGCCCCAAAGTGCAACTCAAACCCTTTGCTCCTTTGAAGCAATTCTACAAAGAGGCTTGCACAAACCTAAATGGGAGTATATAGGAGGAAATATAGGTATAGAAATGCCAGCTTATTGGTTGATCTAAAAAAAAAAAAAGGTTAAGGCAGATCAGATCTGATTCACACAGAGATATCTTGAGAAGATCCTGATGTGGTAGACTAGATGAGGACAATTAAAAAATAATATGCCAAATAACTTCTTTGTTGCTTGCAAGCAAACTATGTGGATATTTCTATGAAGTCACCAGGAGTGGAGTTTGACTCTAAACAGTTTTTAAATTGGTAGCTTAACTGGACCCTGACTGAAAAAAATATTTGCAAAATTATACCTTCCTATATATCAAGAATGAGCATTGCAATGAATGTACAAAGTCATAATATTCCAAGAGCAAATATTTTCAACTGTAGGGATGCTTCTAATGATGAAGGGCATGTCTCACCTACAAGAAGTCTTGTACTAGTCCTTGAACTGTTTTTTTTTTCTTTCCAATTCCATGTTCTTTTTCGCAAGAGGATCTTTTTGCTATCTCTAGAATACAGCTATTTCTTAAGTTTAATGTCACAGTCGTTTCTAATCAAGTTATAAATTGAATTTAAAATGATAGCATGGATGCGTAATGATATGAAATGGGGCACTGTCCTCTTATCTTTCTTTTGCATCTTACATATCTGCAATAAGAGACCCCATTCAGATTCTAGAACAAATGTCCATTTTTTCCCCTATCAAAGGCTGCAGTCCTGCACAAACTATCTGTTACTAATGGTAGATAAATAAGTGTGTGCATGCTTTGAAAATTATGTATAAATAGTATTTCAGCCCTTGCATCAAGTGGCTTCAAGGAAATCACCAAAATTATTTTTTTCCTAGGCAGAGAGGTTGACTCAGAAACACTTCTGGTTTTATTTATTTTTTTAAAATGTGCACACAGCTTTAACAGATAATCTGAAACATGATGAGGTCAAAAAGTAGGTGAGGGCAATACATTTTTTTCTGAGATTCTCTTTTCTGATTTTTTTTTTTTCATCCTCATGAAATAGGATGCAAGGAAGGGACAAATAACCATCCAAATAGCTGGATTAATTGACTGCAAAGTGCTTTAAAATTAGGCTATCAGCCTCCAGATGTTTCTTCCTGTTCTAGATGAGTCTGTGTTCTTGAGATTCCAACTGCTGGCACAGCAAAACTGTTTGAACCAGTTTGATAGATACTCACTCTAACGACAATCATTTGATGGAGAAAGAAAAAGCACTCTAGATGGAATAGAAGCACTTTAGCCTTTTAGTTGTCACACAGAATTGAAGTGTTGAGTAGCAACCCCAGCAGCACAGTAGTCTTTTGAAAATTATGCAAGGAAATATGGGCGGTGTTAGCTGTGATGATTTTGTTTCCATTCTGACCCACAAGAGTAAAGAAGGAAATTCCACAACCCAGCAATCTGTACTTTCAACATTGTGACCTACCTCATTAGCTACTACAGCATGACTGATTCCAATTTAATTTAGAAGGCATCCATCTAAACCAAGGGTGAACTGAAACAAACCTCCCTTTGGGGCAGTTATATTGGAAGGGATCTTTTGCTTGTTTTTTCAGAAGCAGGAGTTGTGTCAGTAGGGGTGTTACTTTTCTTTCCCTCTTCCTGCTGCCATCGATATGTGAAACAAAAATACTGTGTAGCCAACAGCTGACATCTTTCTGATTCTCTATAGAATGAAATGAGGCGAAAAAGAGGAGGCTTGGAAGGGTTTGCTTCAAAGCAAAGTTTATGGCATAGTTGGATTTATCCAAAGGCTCAGGGCAATTTATAAATTCATCGATGAGCACTTTTTTCAGTTACTGAAGGAGAAAAATTCACATCACAACCACCAAGCTGATATTATGAGGCAGATATTTATTTATAACATAGCAGTTCCTTTCTCCTCGATTCATTTATGAAAATCTGGAAACAAACTTTCCTCACCCTGCCCCACAATATGGCAACTAATAGAAGCTTAGAAGATGGAAGAAACCACAATGCCAACATGACTGATAAAGACCAAGTTACTATATCTTGGCTGCAAAATTTGGAAGTCCACTTGATAACCAGAAAGAGATGCAAACTCAGAATTTACAGCCAGTTTCCTGAAATCATTGATGTTGAAATCCAACACATCTGGAGTGTACCAGCTTTTTTTTTGGGGAGGGGCAGGTTCTTTAACTGATTGTGGTTAAATTTTTCACATGACACATATAAAAGGGGGATGGGGCTTTGATGATAAGGTTGTTGTTGCCACGTTAACTTTTTTACCCACTTCTGGATTCCAGTTGGGTGGCATTTTTCTGATCTGGTCGTCCTTGTTTAGTAACCATAATTGGAACTGGCAACTTGGTTGTAAGCGAAGTGGTCATTAAGTGAAACCGTGACTGTGCTTATGAACTTATTTCAGTTTTCCTTTGCTTTACAGACTTGCAAAGGTTGTAAATGTGAGGATTGGTCAGAAAGTCACTTTTTCATCTGTGCCTTTGTGCTTTAAAGTCAGCAAAATCTTCCAACTGCTTTGAAAAGCAACTCTACTCTTATAACTCTCTTCTATCTGGAAGTCTCCTGAGAGCTCCTGGGCCCCTTTACTAAGCCTTGAGATTTTGGCAGCATTTTTCTCATTTTGAATGAGAAGGATTCTCAGCATTGTAATAAATATTTTATTTTTATAGTAGATATTAACTTGAAACTTTGGGTATGATTCAGTGACATAGCATGATAAAGGGGTAGATTTAATTGCTGTTTTTGAAAGGAGTAAGTACATTTTTGCCATGATTATTTGCTTGTAACTTTTTTTTAATCTATGAATGTTCTGTTCACATGCAAGGATTTGACAAAGCACTACAGTATAATCTTCTAATAATACTCATTTTGTACCATAAAATGATTACATGCAGCTTTAAAATGTTAAATATGTCACTATTAGGGTAGAGTAGTGAAGTATTCAGTTTATCATATTAAATGTTCCCAAATGACACAATGTTATCAATCATACACACTGGCAATATTCAACATTTCTCCCTTTTTTCTTTAATTTTGCATTTTTAGTTGAACAAATTGAGATTAAAGTTGACACAGTTTTGTGCTCCAGCTCTCCTGGCGATGAGTGGCAGTAAAGTTCCAAGACATGTCTGTGCAAAGCAAATCCTGCTAAAATCTGATTTAATAACATTCTGGGCAGGGTACAAAGATTTAAGACTCCACACTGCAATCAACACTGCATCAGCTGAGGCATGCAAATGACTATCCAGGAAAGTGAAAAAAAAAAAACCCTGAACAAATCATAAAAAAGCTTGAAATAAATTTGATCACCCTCAAAAAGGTTGCACTGGTTTATTTCCAAAGGATTCCATTATTTCCTTCCTTCCTTCCTTCCTTCCTTCCTTCCTTCCTTCCTTCCTTCCTTCCTTCCTTCCTCCCTCCCTCCCTCCCTCCCTCCCTCCCTCCCTTCCTCTTCTGAGACAAATATGTGACAGAAATCAGGTTTTACTTTTTTTCCCATTAAATGTTGCTTCTTAAAATGACTGTGAAAGGAGGAAAGAATGGATATGTCTACCATATCTGATAACATCTGATGTGGCTAGTTCCATACAGAGTGAATTTTGTTTCCTTCATAAAAGTGCTTTCCTTCCAGGAAGAATGAAAAGTAAAGCATGAATTTTTAAGCTGCAGTCTTTTATGAAGTTGCCATCTTATCACAAGTACCCAGTTTTCAGAAGCCTGAGAAACTTACTTCTGTATACAAGTAACCCAAACTTATTTGGAGCTGGACATTTGCCAAGACTACCATTCCTAAAACCAATAAGGGCAGATCTACCTTCCATGTACAGATTTTTTAATGAGATAATGAATAGCACCCTTACTTAGGGATCATAAATCATGGGGGTGTGCAGCCACTGGGTAATAGTTAAGGACTCAGAGTTGTGCCATAAATTCTGCAAAGGCAGGAAAAGGAACTGTAATGCAATACTTTGTTTTCCTGATGACATCTTTTTCCTGTGCTAATCTCAATCTTCTAATATTTGGCCTAGATTTTTACTCAGACAAGCATTCTTCTAAAACATGCTTCTGGGAATGAGCTGGGGGGTGAAGCTTCCCAGTAATAGAAAAGAAAATACAACTCATTTAACTCGGTTCTCAATTTGCACATAATATATGTATCAATGGCCTAGAAATGTATTATACAGCAAAAACTAATTCAGCATGTCAAACTTCTCAATCCAATTTATACATTTAACTGCATGGGTAAATGCATCGTTTACACTGAGTAGATTTATGGCATGTGTTGTACTCCAGGTCTATCAGTGAATAAAATGTAGTGAAACCAACCGATCAGAGAAATACTAGATTATAGTATGTTATATTTTCTTAAAACATTCCCCAACCCTCTTCATTTTTCCTTGTATCTTCCTACTATCCTTAAGAACTGACCTATCTCAGTGGTGGATGTGTTTGAATGCAATTGCCTTGCATTGACCAGCGTATCCTTGGTGCTTTGCATTTATTTGAGAGGCTGAGTGAGAAAGAAATAAACTGTGGATTCAAATGCTATGAAGATGTCCCCTCCTCCTCTTCCTCCTCCTTCTCCTCCCCTCTTTTCAAAAGAAGTTCATTGTTTAATGTAAAGCATACAGTGAACAATTCTTATATGCCAACTGTAAGATTATGAGTTGATATGCCTTAAGATACCACCTTCTGGTGCCTCTGATGCAAAATCTTATAAGCACATTTTCATTTTTTTTGTAATCAAAATATAACAATAATAAATAGTTAGCAATTTGACATTTCCTCATGAAATCCAAAATCTTTTGCCTTGGGCAGTTATCTCCCTCTTCTTCAAAAAATAGTTTGTTGGAGAGTACAGAGAATAATTTAACCAAAGAAACAAATTCTCCTGAATGCAATGTGTCTTGTATGAAAACTGCTGCCTTCCCAAGGTTGCTAGAATGCTAGTAATCTAGCTTCTTCTATCTAAATCACAGTTTAACTTTGTTTTATCTCCAAATATGCAGAGAACAGGGGAAAAAAAATTGGTTGCTTTCAAATTATTCCTGTTCTGCAATTTGGGAAAGCTCCTTTTACAGTGAGAACAATTCTGCACTGATAACATCAATTATTCATGCATCAGAAATGAGCCAGAGGAACTTCAGAACTTGGAGAATAGGAACATGGGACATCTTTAAAACACATGCCTCCTTTCTCAAGTCCTAACACAAGCCTGAAAAATGACATGTTTACTTCCGTGAGTTACATACATTAAATAAAGAAAGTTAACATAATAGCTGTCTTTTTCCAGGTTCCACGTGAAGGGGGTTTGCACAGCCGTTTTAACAAATCACGTGGATTGACTTATCAAAGCAGATTCATTTTTCAGGCTTGAGTTAGAAATCTGGAAAAAAAAGGATGTTGCTGCTTTAAAAAGATGGTGTGCTAGTAGTGTGTTGATACACCTACACTGTCCAACAGACAAGTTTTGAATAATTTTTAAGAATGCAGAGTTCTATTATCCAATACTTGGCATTCACATTAGTGGGGACCCAAATCAGTAAGTTCAACACATATTTTTTCCCTTATAAGATTCTCTCCCTTATGGGATTTTATAGAGAGACTGGAGTATATGTTCTACTTGATAGCATAAAATGATAATGATAATATGTGTACTGGGATTCAGTAGGAATACTTAGACAAAGGAAGCAAGGGAATGTTTGCAGAATTATCCTGTCCGTTTTAATTGTGTATGTATAATATAATCCTTGACTTACCAACGTTCATTTAGTGACTGTTCAAAGTTACAACAGAATCAAAAAAGTGACTTACAAGTGGTCTTTTGCACTTAGAAATGATGCAGCATCCCCAGGATCACGCAATCAAAATTTGGGTGCTTGGCAATTGGCATGCAGTGTCAGTGCCGTTTATGACCTTCCCAACTGGCTTCCGGCAGAAAGTCAATGGGGGAAGACGGGTTTGCTTAATGACCACATGATTTACTTAAAAACTGCAGTGATTTGCTTACCGGCCATGGCCCAAAAGGTCTTAAAATTAGGTACGACTCACTTAACAACTGTCTTGCTTAACAACACAAATTCTGGGATCAATTGTGGTCATACATCGAGGACTACCTGTTAGTAAATTTCAATAAGATAATAGAAGAGATTATTAAAAGAAATGTGGGACTTTATAATCCTGACAGCTTCCTAAGAGAGCGAATGTGATTTCCTCCAAATGCAATGGAGTAAGGATCTCATTTGCCCACTAGATCAGACCTCAAAAAACAAAACTCTTGCAGTAGGGAGTTACCAGGGAGCCAATCTGGTGTAGTGCTTAAGGCACCTGGCTAGAAACCAGCAAACTGGGAGTTCTAGTTCTGTTTTATGCACAAAGCCAGCTGGGTGACTTTGGGCCAGTCACTGTCCCTCTCTGTTTTAGGAAGCAGATAATGACAAATCACATCAAAAATCTTGCCAAAAAACCTGCAGTGACCGCAGGCAGTCACCTGGAGTTAGGACTCATTTGGAGGCACCCTCTAAAAAAGATACTCACTTATTTCATGCCCCACTCCAAGTTGGGAAAAACCATACAAGGATTCTGATCATAAAGATTTGATCAGTGTAAGAATAATGGCTTCATTAACTATTGATATGCTTCTTAAGCATTTACTAGGCAGGACTTTCCATATATAATTTTAATAAACACTGCAACTTTTTCCCTCCCCCATCCTGTTTGCTTTTGCAAACATGCAATGTCTTGTTACTTTATCGAATCTATATGGAACATTAACCAGGCATATGTTAAAAGTTAGAACTAGACAAGGAGACCATCTTAAGAGGTTAAGAGAAATATTTGACTGGATTCCAGCTTAAGTGGAAAAAAAGAAAATGGTACCATGTTTCCTCAAAAGTAAGACCTACCCCGAAAATAAGCCCTAGCTTGATTTTTGGGTGTGGGCCTAATAAAAGCTCTACCCCCAAAATAAGCCCTAGTTTTGGGGCAAGGCACACACCTAAAAATCAAGCTAGGGCAAGGATGTGAGTGTGGAGCTGCCCCATGCACCCCACCCCCACTTACCTTGCAGCCAGGCCTCTCCTCACCGGCCCAGTTCTTCTGCGGCATTCCCAGGCCTACATTTCACAGTCAGAGGCCTTTCCAGAAGGCCACTGCACCCGAGAATCAAGGTATGGATTCAATGTATAGCTTAGTTCTTTAAGGCCTCTGTAGCCGGGAACCGAGCTATGGAATGAATCCATAGCTTGGTTCTCGGCTACAGTGGCCTTCTGGAAAGGCCTTTGACTGTGAAATGCAAGCCGGAGCTCCATTCTCAGCTGCATAATTAAACTGCTCCTTCAGCTGCAGAAGAAGTGGGCCGCCTGAGTGGGGCTGTCAGTGCCGGAGATGAGTGGAAAAGACACTCGCCCTCCGAAAATAAGACCTGGTGGCTCTTTTGGAGGAAAAAAAAAAGTTTGGGTCCTATTTTTGGGATAACACGGGTATGTATCAACTTAGTTTCACTGTGCCAGAATGGGCTGCTTGTATGAGAGAGGGAGGGAGGGAGGGAGGGAGAGAGAGAGAGAGCGAGAGAGAGAGAGATCTAGTTCAAGTTTTTGCTAAAGCAAAGAATAAATAACTTTCACTCTATCCATAAAAGTGTTGCCTTCTCCCATATGTCAAACACCTTCCAAAGAGCTTAACTTGACATTTCAAAAATATGTGCTGTTTCCTTCCTCTTTTCACAACATATTCCTGAAAATCTTTTCCCCTGCTAAATGTGATAGAAAGGAGAACTGACTTTATAACAATTAAAAGTGATGCTGTGGTCTATTTGTTCATCTCTGCCCCATATAATGAACAGAAAGATCTTCCATCCACTGAAGTTCAGTTCTCTTTGACCTGATTTCCGTCTCAGCACACATTAAGTTTAGAAAATTGAAATTACCCATAGGTATGTTGAACCATGAAGCAGAAAAACAAAACCACAGCTCGCTGATGCCTTTATTAGGGATCTATCAATTAATAGAAAACTGGATGGAAGAGACAGGGATTAGAGAAGAAACCAGAGTCATCCCCAGAGGCCGACTCTCTCTGTGTATCCAGGCACATTTTCAGGGTTATTGCTTAAAGTCTTCCTCAGTGTAAGAGAACACATGTCCTTCTAGAATGTTGCTGGCTACCAGTATTTCCAACATTGTGGGTGAAGCTGTTGGGAGATAGTATTTCAGCAACATCTGGAGAACTGCAGTTCCTCAAACCTGGACCTGATTAAGAGACAAAGTAAGAAGCATATTTGAATTGTGCTTTTACCATGAACCTCTGAGATCACCTTTGAG